AGGACGATACACTCCCAACAAACAAACAAACACATGTACGTCCTCCTATAACACAGGCTGTTCCGAGGACGATACACTCCCAACAAACAAACAAACACATGTACGTCCTCCTATAACACAGGCTGTTCCGAGGACGATACACTCCCAACAAACAAACAAACACATGTACGTCCTCCTATAACACAGGCTGTTCCGAGGACGATACACTCCCAACAAACAAACAAACACATGTACGTCCTCCTATAACACAGGCTGTTCCGAGGACGATACACTCCCAACAAACAAACAAACACATGTACGTCCTCCTATAACACAGGCTGTTCCGAGGACGATACACTCCCAACAAACAAACAAACACATGTACGTCCTCCTATAACACAGGCTGTTCCGAGGACGATACACTCCCAACAAACAAACAAACACATGTACGTCCTCCTATAACACAGGCTGTTCCGAGGACGATACACTCCCAACAAACAAACAAACACATGTACGTCCTCCTATAACACAGGCTGTTCCGAGGACGATACACTCCCAACAAACAAACAAACACATGTACGTCCTCCTATAACACAGGCTGTTCCGAGGACGATACACTCCCAACAAACAAACAAACACATGTACGTCCTCCTATAACACAGGCTGTTCCGAGGACGATACACTCCCAACAAACAAACAAACACATGTACGTCCTCCTATAACACAGGCTGTTCCGAGGACGATACACTCCCAACAAACAAACAAACACATGTACGTCCTCCTATAACACAGGCTGTTCCGAGGACGATACACTCCCAACAAACAAACAAACACATGTACGTCCTCCTATAACACAGGCTGTTCCGAGGACGATACACTCCCAACAAACAAACAAACACATGTACGTCCTCCTATAACACAGGCTGTTCCGAGGACGATACACTCCCAACAAACAAACAAACACATGTACGTCCTCCTATAACACAGGCTGTTCCGAGGACGATACACTCCCAACAAACAAACAAACACATGTACGTCCTCCTATAACACAGGCTGTTCCGAGGACGATACACTCCCAACAAACAAACAAACACATGTACGTCCTCCTATAACACAGGCTGTTCCGAGGACGATACACTCCCAACAAACAAACAAACACATGTACGTCCTCCTATAACACAGGCTGTTCCGAGGACGATACACTCCCAACAAACAAACAAACACATGTACGTCCTCCTATAACACAGGCTGTTCCAGGGACGATAAACTCCCAACAAACAAACAAATGAACGTCCTCCTATAACACAGGCTGTTCCGAGGACGATAAACTCCCAACAAATAAACACATGTACGTCCTCTTATAACACAAGCTGTTCCAGGGACGATAAACTCCCAACAAACAAACAAATGATCGTCCTCCTATAACACAGGCTGTTCCAGGGACGATAAACTCCCAACAAACAAACAAACACATATACGTCCTCCTATAACACAGGCTGTTCTGAGGACGATAAACTCCCAACAAACAAACAAACACATGTACATCCTCCTATAACACAGGCTGTTCCGAGGACGACACACTCCCAACAAACAAACAAACACATATACGTCCTCCTATAACACAGGCTGTTCAGAGGACGATACACTCCCAACAAACAACTTATAACACAGGCTGTTCCAGGGACGATACCCTCCAAACAAACACATGTACGTCCTCCTATAACGCAGGATGGTCCGAGGACGATACACTCTCAACAAACAAACAAATGTACGTCCTCCTATAACACAGGCTTTTCTGAGGACGATACACTCCCAACAAACAAATGGACGTCCTCCTATAACACAGGCTGTTCTGAGGACGATAAACTCCCAACAAACAAACAAACACATATACGTCCTCCTATAACACAGGCTGTTCTGAGGACGATAAACTCCCAACAAACACATGTACGTCCTCCTATAACACAGGCTTTTCTGAGGACGATACACTCCCAACAAACAAACAAATAAATAAACACATGTACGTCCTCTTATAACACAGGCTGTTCCAGGGACGATACCCTCCAAACAAACACATGTACGTCCTCCTTTAACACAGGCTGTTCCGCGGACGATAGACTCCCAACAAACAAACGTACGTCCTCCTATAACACAGGCTGTGCAGAGGACGATACCCTCCCAACACACACATGTACGTCCTCCTATAACACAGGCTTTTCTGAGGACGATACACTCCCAACAAACAACTTATAACACAGGCTGTTCCAGGGACGATAAACTCCCAGCAAACAAACAAATGAACGTCCTCCTATAACACAGGCTGTCCCGAGGACGATAGCCTCCCAACAAACAAATGTACGTCCTCCTATAACACAGGCTGCTCCGAGGGCGATATACTCCCAACAAACACATGTACGTCCTCCTATAACACAGGCTGTTCAGAGGACGATACACTCCCAACAAACACATATACGTCCTCCTATAACACAGGCTGTGCAGAGGACGATACCCTCCCAACACACACATGTACGTCCTCCTATAACACAGGCTGGTCTGAGGACGATACACTCCCAACAAACACATATACGTCCTCCTATAACACAGGCTGTTCCGAGGACGATAACCTCCAGACAAACAAACACATGTACGTCCTCCTTTAACACAGGCTGTTCCGAGGACGATAGACTCCCAACAAACAAATGTACGTCCTCCTATAACACAGGCTTGTCTGAGGACGATACACTCCCAACAAACAAACAAATGTACGTCCTCCTATAACACAGGCTGTTCCGAGGACGATATACTCCCAACAAACACATGTACGTCCTCCTATAACACAGGCTGGTCCGAGGACGATACACTCTCAACAAACAAACAAATGTACGTCCTCCTATAACACAGGCTGTTCAGAGGACGATACCCTCCCAACAAACACATGTACGTCCTCCTATAACACAGGCTGTTCCGGGGACGATACACTCCCAACAAACAAATGTACGTGTATCTTCTAAGGTCACGCAGTTTAAGGATCTCCGTACCACTGTCAAAAACGTAAGCTAGGCAGTGGAAACTGCTCTTTCAGGTAGCTTTGAAAAAATGTTTTGAATGTAAAACTTTTACAGGACTAGACTAATATTCGAACCATGGACTTCAGATTGTTACACTGTCGCTCTTTATTTACTTTTAAAAATATTTTTCATTTTCCCACACATAGGGCCTCATGGTTTGGGGCCCCTGAGGTTCCGCACAGTACAACAATAAATATCACGAATAAAGATCTCTAAATTGTTTTGGTAACATTGCATTATACTGTCGCTCTATTCGACTGAGCTATCGAGTCATTGAATAATAATGATAATTCGAGGTTCTTATATACCGCTTTATCACAACCTAGTTCAAAGGTCATCTCAAAGCGGTTCACAAATTATTTTCCGTGGTTATAGGTTGTTTGCAACCAGCCAATACCTTTCTCAACTCCTTGGGGAGCAACCAGCCGGTGCTGCCATTGCGGCGCTCACAGCTAGCATTCTACAATTCTAGCACTGCCCAACCAAGTGCTCATTTATAGCTGTGTAGTCTGAAACAAGCGGAGTAAAGTATCTTGCTCAAAGATACAACACAGTGAGCCCGGCGTCCTACAACCACCAGACTACCGTGCCTTACAATTGTTAAGACGTAACCGTATATACGAAACGCCAAAGAGCAGTGGGTCAGTGATCCTTAAGGAACGGTTACCGTATACACGACAAACCACATGCCAGTGGGGCAGTGATCTTTAAGGGACGGTTACCGTATACACGACAAACCACAGGCCAGTGGGGCAGGGATCCTTAATCATTGATATTTATTTTTAGTGATGAAGTTTTTCGCTCCGTTATCAGCAGAATACTATAGACAGATGTGACACGCCGTCGATTGTAAAAAATAAATTCATCATATTACTAAATAAGATACAGGTATCTTTTGATGTAGCTGACTTTATGCAGTACTGCTAAGGATATCATCTAACAATTAACTGTATGTATTAATACCCACGTAATACGCCGACTCATTAACTGTATGTATTAATACCCACGTGACACGCCGACTCATTAACTGTATGTATTAATTCCCACGTGACACGCCGACTCATTAACTGTATGTATTAATTCCCACGTGACACGCCGACTCATTAACTGTATGTATTAATTCCCACGTGACACGCCGACTCATTAACTGTATGTATTAATTCCCACGTGACACGCCGACTCATTAACTGTATGTATTAATTCCCACGTGACACGCCGACTCATTAACTGTATGTATTAATTCCCACGTGACACGCCGACTCATTAACTGTATGTATTAATTCCCACGTGACACGCCGACTCATTAACTGTATGTATTAATTCCCACGTGACACGCCGACTCATTAACTGTATGTATTAATTCCCACGTGACACGCCGACTCATTAACTGTATGTATTAATTCCCACGTGACACGCCGACTCATTAAATGCATATAGTAAAATGTAATACCCACACGACACGCTATCGACCGAAAAAATAGAATTCTTCAATTTTTCAAAATGAAACTTCATATTCATTTGTTATATATATTCATATAAATAACATATCATCTGATGTCGCTGAGTTTGTTTTAATATTTTGATTGGCGACGCTTGTTGTCATTTTAAAGAATGAATCTTTTGAAGACTTCGCGGCCACACCCGCGCGAACAGAATCCAGAATCTGATGGTTGTTTTTTTTATCGTTGTATGCCTATCAATACAATATCATACGGATCCAAAGTACATTTTTTTCCTCTCGATGTTATCTCCCTTCGTTCTGCTGGGGTTCGTGTGACATTCCGTTTGTTTTTGGTCAGTATAGAATTTGAGATCAGAAATGTCAATATCTGTTTATCTTTACACTTTGTAATACTGACACCGACACAACGCGCTACTATGGAGTAGATATATTTAGACACACGTGTCTATATCCGCCTACAGAAAACTTCCCTAATTGTCGACGTTCTAGTTTATTGATTAATCGCATACGTGCAGAAAGGCGTGTTTACACTACGACATGTACTTGATATGAACTTGAGGAAGGCGAGCTATTTTTTCTATACACTCGGAAGAGACGAGCTAGCAGCATGTTCTCCGTAAGTACCATTACATGATTGAACTTTTAATTTGATTTTCTTTGGAAGTTTTTCTAATATTATATTCCATATACACTTAAAACACATATTGTTTTTATTATAATACATCCTATAGTTTGTTCTTATGTTTAAATCATTTAATATTGTGTTATCAAATATATACACACAATACAACACTTACATGTGTCTTTGCTTATAGATATAAATATTTTCCACCTACATTAAGACAGTTTTTTGTACTTTTATAACACTATCGAAGCTAAAGATAGTTTTTTTCCATCCGAAGCTCGCCCTGAAACTTCAGCATCAGGTAACTAATTCTGTATAACAAAATAGTCATACAATTACTCGTTAACTTTTAACAAATATATTTTTTTAGAAGTATTGTATATAAACATTCATCAACACCCCCTCCGCTGATAACATCTTAATATCGTCGGTATTGTTTCCTATTCATCATCTCACAGGTCAGTGACTAGCGTATAATGAACTCAATTTCACTGCTATAAACAGTAAACGGATGTTTTAACTTCCGTCTACAGACAAAAATAGCTCTATAGTAAGATGTTAATAGAACGGATACCGATGCTAAAGTTTTTAGACAGAAGTTATCGCTGAACTATTATTGCTAATTAAAATGAAACCTTTTTAATTTGATCCGACGTCCTGTGAAAGTGTTAACAGAACCATTTTATTTATGTTTTTATTTTCGTTAACAACAGTCGATGTTTCCGGTGACTATCTTTACCAGCGTTCGCGATGACTGATGTTATAGCTATGTGCAGATCAATAAACATGTTTACAAGTTAAAATTATAATCTACACGTGTATCTGACTGAATTTAAAGGCCTTTCTAATCAATCACCCTGTTTATCCGACCAAACTCACATTATCTATGCTGTCATATTAGACAAATTTCACTGTATAAAAGTTCAATATGCTAACAGATCCGGACTGTAGAGGTTATGCATTAATTCGATGGGAACTGATTAGTTACACTTAAAATTGTTATATTATGAAATTGCTACATATTGAATTATTCTATACTAAAAGTAGCACACAAATAAACCTGCCGGCAAAATAATCCGGTAAACAGTAAAAGGGTTGATGAACTTGGTTTGGTTAAATTTTGTGTATCGTCCTCAACTAAGGTCATTCAAGGACGTGCCTCCGTGAGTGTATGCGTGCTGGCGTGTGTGTATGCAGGAGACAGGGCATGTTGGTGTGCTTGCCTCCTTGTGATAGCGCGGATCTGATGCCAAGTTTATAGTGCTACCTCACTGAAATGCCATGCCGACACCAAGCACAGCATTCCACCCGATCACATTATACTGACAACAGGTGAACCAGTTGTTGCCATTCTCCTTAATGCTGAACATAAGGCAGAGAATAGCAACTACCATTTTTCAGGACCTTGGTATGTCCCGGCCCGGGAACAGAAAACATTGCCTTCCTCACCAAGGCGAGCGCTCAACATTCAAGCCAAAAGTGAGGTGATGTGAAGCAAAGCGCTAGGAAATCAAAGGTAGTTTGAAGTAGAAAGAAAGATAAAGATCACAAATATTGCAATGGTCGCAGCAAATTTATTTCGGTCGCTTTTGTGTCCACAAATAGAGAATCCCCAATTCCGCAGGGGTTCCCTCATTAGTCGCCTCCTACGATACATGTAGTGGGTACCAGCAGGTGTATATACATAGTGTAGTACGTAATACACATTTTCGTTATAAAATAACAAACTTACGACACACTTCTATAACTTTTGATACAAAAACAAACGCCTTATCCTCACCAATAAGCCAATCATACAATAATACACAATACTGACAATATAACTTACACTACCAAGACCCGTAAATTGGTCCAGTGTTGTAAACACATATTCTCTGTTATCAGTTTTTCCGTGTCTGGTCTTTATCTCCATTAATTTTATTCGTGGCTAGGCTGCAGATGTTACGGAGTTTCCCGAATGTTGCCGAATGAAGGAATTAAACAGATGTCCGGGTAGCTACACGTATCGAGGCAGCGGGACGTGTGTACGTGCTTAATGTCATGTTTTACAAAACGGTAATGGATTGATTTAAAATACCACTTGCCATCGGGTATATTACGTTTTCCGCGAACTAGGAAGAGATTAATAGACCTGAGTAAGCACAGCTCCACTTCATCAGTTGTGTAACACCCACGCACCTCTTTGACATCTCCGCATCAAGGTGTAGAATGATATATCGCGCACTGCTTATAAATACGTGTCCCGATACTATACCAAGGTTTGCTTGACAGACACTTATATATTCGACGTATTTTAATATATTCTAAATTCTGCTATATTGTAATTTCCTTTACATTCTACAGATCAGGCTAGGGTAGGTGTAGGGGTGAGGGTACCTGGGGGATCAGGTTAGGGTAGGTGTAGGGGTGAGGGTACCTGGGGGATAAGGTTAGGGTCGGTGTAGGGGTGAGGGTGCTTGGGGGATCAGGTTAGGGTAGGGGTCAGGGTGCCTAGGGGATCAGGTTAGGGTAGGGATGAGGATGCGGGTAGGGATGAGGGTGCCTGGGGGATCAGGTTAGGGTAGGTGTAGGGGTGAGGGTGCCTGGTGGATCAGGTTAGGGTAGGGGTGAGGGTGTCTGGGGGATCAGGTTAGGGTAAGTGTAGGGATGAGGGTGCCTGGGGGATCAGGCTACAGATGTTACGGAATTTCCCGAATTTTGCCGGATGAAGCAATTAAACAGATGTCCGGGTTCACGTAGCTACAAGTAAGTTTGATTGATGTATATTAACATGCGACACTATAATAAACTATTTTATTGGTTGATTTTTATTGAGTATCGAGGAACCAGGATGTGTGTACGTGCTTAATATCACGTTATAGAAAACGGTAATGGTATGATTTTAAATACCACTTGACTTAGGTTATGTTACGTTTTCCGCGAACTAGCAAGAGATCAATCGACCTGAGTGTGCACATCAACGGCACGCTCACTTTCCGGGCCCAGTCGTAATGATCAATCGACCTGAGTTAGTACATCAACGGCACGCACACTTTCTGGGCCCAGTCGTAATGCAAATATTTCACTCAGTAATTTGTATAAAAACACACATAACGGTACATGTTAAGGGATTTCTAAACGAATAAACTTTATATTTTATTTGAGTTATTTTGTGAACTTCTCGTTAAGCTTGTAATGCTTTGAATAACTTAACGCTATCGATATTTTATAACGTTGTTGTTGTTTTTTTTATCTAATTTGATCTTTTCATAATTGTCGACATTAATCAACAAATCCCATGATAAAAGAATGTTTACAAGTCGTACCAAGATAAAAATAAGTGCTAAAATAGTGAAGAATACTTGAGATATATTTTGGGCCCATAATACATATGTGTGTGAATTGAAATTACTATTTGTATACAGTGTTTAAGACTTATACTTATGCGTAACCCACGCATCACCTCCGCACCTACACCTGGAAGTGTAAAATGATATCTCGCGCACTTAATATATTCGACGTAAGTCAATGCAATCGGTCGTCTTCTATTAGCAATTATTCTAAATTCTGACAAATTGTAATTTCCTTTACATTCTCCGGACAACACCTGGATGAATTACCATAAACACGAGTGTATGTATGATACAAAAAGGTTTAATAAGAGACGTACATCAATTCAAAAAAAAAATGAAGGGTAGGGGTGGGGATGCCTGGGGAATCAGAACACCCCCGCCCTCAACTAACCCACCCCGCCCCCTTTTTCAGATTTTTACGCATTCTCTGAGCTGTTTGCTGTTTTATCAGTCTAAGATTTCTCTGTTACTCTGCCTCTGTCGCCCCCTCAAGATGGTCAGATGAATTTGCCTCACCTTATTTAAACAGTTAAAGAATGTAACTCACTTCTCGACAGATTTAAAGATGAGGTCAAAGTTACCAACGTTAGCATCGTTCATGACATGATTATAGATAAGGGTCATGTAGCGGTCGTTATCAGAGTGTCACGTACGGGTACGGATACATGTACAGTAGTCCCCGCTATACCGCCACCTTTTGTCCCGTGCCAATGTTGGCGGTATAAGGGGGATGGCGATACAACGGGGTTTCAGTAGGATAGCCAAATGTAGGACACATGTGCCTGAGATGTACATCTATTAATTTTGTAACAAACCCTACATATATGTATTTATTTTGAAATGAATGCAAACACGTAATATATATCATTTACAGCTTTTAAACGTTATAAGTTAATATAACAAATACACATGTATACTCTGTGTAGCTCTGTGTACGCAAGTGTTTTCTACATTTACACATATATAGTATCCTTGTGTTACGTTTTTCTTCTCTTACCCAGTGTCAGCCAGTGTTACCTCTAGGTTACTTCTGTTACCCAGTGTCAGCCAGTGTTACCTCTTGGCTACTTTTTGATGTAATTGACAAGATACTGAAGTAACATAAAAGAGAAAAAAAAACTTAATTTAGAGATTAAACTGAGGTAAAATTCATGTCTTTGAACCTCGTTTTTACTTTCGTATCACTTCTGTAACTTTTTAATAAAATAAAATCTTAGCTCAGGTTTTATATAGTTTATCCTCATATTTTTCTGTGTAACCTGTATGTTGTTTGTTAATACTGCTGAGTCATGGCTCGTATTTTATCCTATTACTAGTATTGTGCTTACCCTTATGGGACGTTTGTTTGTGACTGCAGTGTAAAGCTTAGCTGAGTTTATATAATTTAGTCTCATATGAATTTTGTGTTATATTTGGGGCTTTTGTATGTACCTGAATCCTAACTTAGATTTCATGTTCCATCTTTGTTTATTTTTGAATTACGTCCCTTGCTCGTTTTTCCTATAACTATAACAGCTAATTGTACATACGCCTACCGCGTAGCCGAATCGATATCGATTTGTGTGGACAACTCGTATATATCTTACATCTTTGTGTGCATTTGCTTCACTGGTCATTTGTCTGATGAGGGTGACAGAGTGAACATAGCGTACTAGTCAT